GCTCTCCACCCTGAGACACTGCCCGACCCTGCCACAGCTGCTGCTGATGCCATCTCCATGACCTGCCCGCTGCTCTTGCAGCGTAAGAGTGAAATTTAGTGCGTTTCACAATGGGGGAGATGGGTCCCCTTCTCTTCTTGCAGCCCATTATGAACCGAAGCCACAATGCAGCCCTGGCCCACTTGCCCCTGGCAACAGCAGCAGGATTAGCTATGGCTCGGGTTGGGCCAGTCTCTCAGGGCAGAGAGCAGGCTGCACGTCTCCTCGTGCAACCAAGGCACGTCCAGCACCAACAAAGGTCAGAAGCAGCCGCCCACTGTTTCCTGCTGCAGTCTGTCAAGCAGCTAGAGACCCAGCTAGAGATAAGGTGCCAGAGAATCAGAATCAGAGAGAAAGAGGAGGGACGGAACAAACAGAGAGGCAGAGACAGAGATAGACAGAGAGAGAGCTACAGAAAGAGAGAGAGACAGAGAGAGAATGATTAAGACACAGACAGACAGAAACACACACAGAGACAGACACAGAGTCAGAGAGAGAGAAGAGACAGAGTAAGACAGAGAAAGAGAATGACAGAGATAGAGTTAGTGAGACAGAGATGAGAGACTGAGAGACAGAGACAATCACACAGAGACAGATACACACAGAGAGAAACAGAGACACAGGGAGACAGAGAGACAGATACAGACAGACACACAGAGAGAAACATACACAGAGAGACACGAGACAGAGAGAGACATAGATAGAGACAGACAGAGACAGGGATACACAGAGAGAGGCAAAGACACAGAGAGACAGAGAAACTGGGAGGGATAAGGTGGGCCTGGGCAGAGCAAACAATTTAACAACCAGTTCTCTGTCCTAATGACCGGCTGGGTAGGTGTGGCTGGGGGCAGATCATGCAACTGGGTGGGAATGAGTGACGCTGAGTTGGCCACGTACACCTAGTCACACCAGCTGTTAAATTATTGCCTCTCGGCATTTTCTTTTCTGTGGAAAACAAGTCCAAATGCCTCTTTGAGTGCTTAAGGTTGCAGACCCCTGAACTAGATCATCCATGTCAAGTATTTCAAGCCTATTATAACCAAGACTTCCTGAAGTCTAACTTGCCCAGAATCTTTTCACTAGTCAAGATAGGCTACCACAGTNCATTTAATTATATTTTACTTGATAAGCAGTTTGCTTTACACCAATGCCAAGGATTTCCAAACCCCAATGTTTTGCGAAAATACCTGTTTGACTCCACCCCTAACATTTTCCTAAATGCAGTGATTCGCTTAACAAATGTGGCAAGAAAAGCCATAAAATGGAGCAAACTCACATATCAAATTTCTCACTTAACAACATAAATGTTGGGCTCAGTTGTGGTTGTAAGTTGAGGACTTCCTGTATCGCCTTGAGTATCATCACTAGATGGGACCTCTGCTTGACGTTCTTCCAACAGCCATTGCAAATAGGAGTTGGTGGAGAGGGCTGTGATGTCACCCTGCTTTAGTGGATTTTCTGATGTAGCACCAAGTGTATCCTCCTGATAGACAATGCCTACCATCCAGGTGCTGAAACAGATGCTCACTTGCACAGGTCTGAGGTTGCAAAATAGGTGAACCAACCCCAAAGATTTTGAAATGGAGCTATCATGAAAGACCATGGCATAGCCATTAGGCATAACCGAATCCAAAGGTTTTGCAAGAACTAGGGTGGTGCAGTGATGTACTTGCAGGCTACTTCTGCTGTCTGCCAGCACAAATCTCACCATGCTCAAGCTGGATTCAGCTTTCCATTTTCCCAAAGTGGGTAAAATGAAGACCCAAATTGGTGACTCTAAACCGCTTAGAGAGCTCTGTGAAGCACTGTAATGCAGTATATGTCTAAGTGCTATTGCTATTATAAGCTTTCTGTTAGAGGCTGCGATTACACACTGCGTCGTGAATTGTGTCACACAATTCATCCATTTATGTTACAGGTCAGCCTTAGCCCTCCTGCTTCTTCCAGAAAACTCATGGAAGTGAACCCAAAAAGTTTTTTTTTATTTTTCTTGTATATTATTAACTAGCCTAGAAACATCATTATTCCAAAAATACAAAATGTCAATTCTTCTCCATTTGGCTAAAACTGGATATAATTTACAGTACATAAAGCCCAGTCTGAGAGTACTTGGGGCCTTTTCATTGATGACCTCTGGCTCCACTAATACAGAAAGCAAGCTGGAGAGAAACAGTATGCAATACAGAAATATTACTGCAATATACTCCTCCAGTATTTTTTATAGTTCTCAAAAACTCCTCATTTGCATAAAGACCAGGAAGTGGCTGGGGAAGGGTAGCACTGCATAGACAATTGACCACTTTTCATCCACTTTTCTACGCGCATTTTAAAAAACCCTGCAATTTTCCCAACCTTTGAGAGAACAGTAACAGTAATAGCATGGTTATACAGTCTGTGCAAACAGGAAAGAAAAGGGCCTTCCTCAATATGCATTCTGTATTAGGACCCCTGACACAGGAAGTATTATGTGGCACTTATCCCTGTTCATATCATTTATTCCAGCGGTCTCCAAGCTTTTCAACTTGGCGGACCAGAGAGGTAGCAGCAACGTGGAAAGGGCTGGCTTCGTGTGTCTGCGCTCATCACATTTCACAAATGCAACTTCGTGTATGCACACATGGACTCGCCCACCATTCTGTAGTCCGGTACCAAATGGGCTACAGCCCTGCACTGAGTCACAGACCGAAGGTTGTGGACTCCTGACTTATTCAATCTGCAAAAACCTACACAATCAGTAGAGGGCAACAAGGAGATATATAGAAAACCCTTGCTGCCACCTAGTGGCCATGTGGATGTTACAGTCCAGTTATGAAATGTTGACCTCACATCCGTGTAAAGCTTAGTCTATATTTATTCAATACTGGGTGTCTGAAGTCTATGGCGTTATGAATATTCTAACTGAAGGCATCCGTGGCCTAAAGGATCTTGATTCTTTTCCCCATTTTATAGGACTGTCAACCAAGCTCCAGAGGTGACTTACGACAATCTTCCTCCAATTCTGATGGGAGAAAATAACCGTAAAACAAGTGATGGAAGTCACCTGGGTATTTCAGGTTGTCTAATCAGGGATCTCCCACTGTCATCTAAACGTGAAGCAAAGGGTTCACCGACAAAAGGGCAAACGACAAAACCGCGCCCGACTAAACCGCGGTGACAAAACCGTGTGTTCTAAAGCGCTCCGACAAATGAGCGCTGAATCGCGGCGACAACAGCGCGGCGACAGAAGCGCGCTGTAAAACTAAACCTAGCCCTAAACCTAACCCTAAACCTAACCCTAAACCTAACCCTA